CCTGAATAGAAAAACTGAGAATGCTGAAGTAAACAGAATTTAATACTGCATTAGCTTCCAGATGTATGAACACTTTGCTATGTGTGCATTCTCCAAATTAGTTCCAATCAAATTTTATACACCAAGAAAAATATGTAAGTTTAGATGATGGAATAATGAGGGGTATGCACTTTAAAACGATATTGACATACATGTCGGGCATCAATGCACAGCGGTCACACGGACTAAGCCATGTCCTACGAATGGATGCTTATGCTTGGACGCATGAAACGCAGCTAGATTCACATGAACATCTTGTACAAATTTATAGTTTTGGTTGTTTAAAAACTGAGCGCGAAATGTTCCAATACAATTAGTATCTATAATTTTTTTCTTTAAGAGATTAATTAAGAATAACAACCATCGAACGCTTCATCATTCAGTCCATGGTTTATCCACATATGTACATATGATGTCCTTTTTTAAAATACATTTGTACATATGTGCCAATTTTCGCGCGATCATCCTTTATGACAAGTTTTTATTTGTAAAACCCGATATAATAATTTCCCAATACCAGGCGCTCATACATGGATTTTGGATGGAAAAACTCCCGAGTGTGATATGCCTCATTCGTGCCAATGCTGGGCTATTGCAATGATAGTGAAGGACCGCTTCTTTACTTACTTCCCCACAAGATAACAGCTACGGCACCGAGGGTTATACGGGACGCCCATTTTAGCTGCATGTTCACCAATGGGCCAATGTCTCGTTATCGTGGCTACTAATTTGACTATATCTTTCCACGACCTCTTGAGAAGTTCTTATGCCTTTGGCTTGTCATAGTGCGGCCATATGTTCCTCGCAGTTTTGCAGGGTANGTGTCGGGCATCAATGCACAGCGGTCACACGGGCTAAGCCATGTCCTACGAATGGATGCTTATGCTTGGACGCATGAAACGCAGCTAGATTCTCATGAACATCTTGTACAAATTTATAGTTTTGTTTGTTTAAAAGCTGAGTGCGAAATGTTCCAATACAATTAGTATCTATAATTTTTTTCTTTAAAGGATTGGAAAATTTGCAGAACATGAAAGAATTATGCATAACAACCATCGAACGCTTCATCATTCAGTCCATGGTTTATCCACATATGTACATATGATGTCCTTTTTTAAAATACCTACGGCACCAATGTGCCAATTTTCGCGCGGCCATCCTTTATGACAAGTTTTTATTTATAAAAACCGATATAATAATTTCCCAATACCAGGCGCTCATACATGGATTTTGGATGGAAAAACTACCGAGTGTGATCTGCCTTATTTGTGCCAATGCTAAGCACCCACAAAGATAGTGAAGGACCGCTTCTTTACTCACTTCCCCTCAAGATAACAGCTACGGCACCGAGAGTTATACGGGACGCCCATTTTAGTTGCATGTTCACCAATGGGCCAATGTCCCGTTATCGTGGCTACTAATTTGACTATATCTTTCCACGACCTCTTGAGAAGTTCTTATGTCTTTGGCTTGTCATAGTGCGGCCATATGTTCCTCGCAGTTTTGCAGGGTAAAAGGTTGTTCCAACGTGTATCAGCCATACGTGTGAATTGCAGATGCAGTTCCCTTTTGATGAGTCCGAATGGACAATTTATAGTTTCTGCTTCGGATTCATCCAAAGATGCTCCGTCCTTAGCCAACTCGTCAGCCCTCTCATTTCCGTGTATGTTTCTATGGCCGGGAACTCAGATGAGAGTGATGTCTATTAACTCGNGAGATGCTCCGTGCTTATCCAACTCGTCAGCCCTCTCATTTCCGTGTAGGTTTCTATGGCCGGGAACCCAGATGAGAGTGATGCCTATTAACTCGGCCGCCGAGCTTAACGCACATTTGCAATTTCTGACTATTTTGGATTTTGTTACTGGTGAGGCGAGTGCCAGAAGTGCCGCTTGGCTATCTGAAAAAATGNTTCTGGCTGTTTTGGATTTTGTTACTGGTGAGGCGAGTGCCAGAAGTGCCGCTTGGCTATCTGAAAAAATGTATGCTTTTCGTACACCTATGCAGTTCCTCTCTAGAGCTGTACAGGTCCTTTCGATGCCCAGTACATCCGTTTGGATGATGTTAGCAAAATTAGGTAGTCGAAACGATAGAGAGACATTCAGCGTTTCAGAGAACACCCCCTCACCCACACCGCAGTCCAATTTAGACCCGTCAGTATAGATTTCAGTGGAATTCTCCGCGACTAACCTGCCCCTACTCCAATCCCGTCTTGAAGGAAACTTCACCTGANCACCGCAGTCCCTTTTAGACCCGTCAGTATAGATTTCAGTGGAATTCTCCTCGACTAACCTGCCCCTACTCCAATCCCGTCTTGAAGGAAACTTCACCTGAAAGCTTTTCCTGAAATCTGTTCTGGGAAGTATATAATCTGATTGTTTCCCTGATTCGATAAGCTTGTCAAGAATACCATTATGGCCGTGCTGCAGCGCCCTCCAGCAACCTGACTCTTTGAGTCTGACTGCCGCAGACGCAGCAGTTTCGTGGATATGGAGTTCTATGGGTAGTTGATGCAGGATCACATTAAGCGCATCAGATGGACACGACTTAATTGCCCCTGTAGCACCTCCACAAGCTGCTGTTTGTATACTGCCTAGTTGCCTGGCGTTGTATTATTTATCTAGTGCTGGGCACCAAACTAACGCCGCATACGTTAGTATTGGTCGTGTGCTAGCCCTGTACATCCAGAAGACAAGCTTTGGCTTCAATCCCCAATTCCTACTGAATATCCTTTTACATGTATAATAAGCTGTGTAGGCTCTCTCAATCCACCTCTCTATATTTGTCTTCCAGCTCAGCTTGGTATCTAATACGACACCCAAGTATTTAGCCTCGGAGAACAATGTGAGAGACTTTCCATTAAGGGAGGGAAGCTTGAAGTGTGGTATTTTTGTTTTATTGGTGAACAGCATTAGTTCCGTCTTGCTAGGGTTGAAACCCAGTCCACTTTTTGTAGCCCAGGTGTTCAGCCGAAGCGAAGCTGCCTCTAGCATTTCACTAATCGTTGAGGGGAAGAGACCTGATACCGCCACCACTACATCATCTGCATATGCTACCACTTTCACTCCACCTTTGTTAACATCCAGTAGAATGTCGTTCAGTACCACCACCCATTGTAGCGGAGAAAGAACTCCCTCTTGGAGAGTTCCTTTATTTGCATAACGGGATAGCGTTACTGAACCGATGGTTGAAATTATGATTCTGTTTCTGAGCATTTGTTCGATCCACTCGCATATGTGGTCAAATATACCCACCTTCACAAAAGATCGAACAATTCCTTCGATTGTAATGTTATTGAAGGCCCCCTGTATGTCGAGGAATGCCGCCAAAGTGTACTGCTTTTGATGGAGTGATTTTTCTATGGTGCCCACGACGGGCAGTTTCAGTTGACCTGCCCTTAATATATGCATGTTGAGCTTTGTAAAGTTTGGAATTTCCCAGAAAATGCCTAATGTGTAGGTCTAAAAGTCTTTCCAGTACCTTTAGCAGGAAAGATGTAAGACTTATTGGTCGGAAGTCTTTTGCTTTTTCGTGATTTCTTCTTCCCGGTTTGTGAATGAAGACAACTTTGACTCTTTTCCAGCTTTTCGGAATGTATGTCAAGCTGATACTGGCTTTGTAATAAATTTCCAGTCAGGATACCATAGGGTCCTGTAATTTCTGGAGCATTATCGGAATGATGCCATCTGAGCCAGTTTTGTTCTGTAGCACTCGTTAAAGATTTTTCTGAGATTTGGCCTGTGCTCCCTAAGCTCCTCCGTTCACCATGGAGTGGATTTTTTCTTAAGGACGCTTACTAGTGTGGATTTTTTAAAAGCTATAGCTAGAGGTTTTTCTAGCTTATCTACTGTGTTGTCTAGTTCTACAGCAGTTGTAACCTCCTTTGATTTACTACAGTCTAGGTTACCTGACGTTAGCCTGTTAAATTTTGGCCATATAGTTCTTCTCGGATTCCGAAATAGGGAAGACAATGATCCGACATGGATGTTTCACTGGATACTGAGTTTTAATGTGTGAAGAGTCATAGCAGTTTGAGCTAATAATAATGTATGACCGGGAAAGGAGTCAATGTAGTATATGCCTATAATGCCCATATGGATATCTTTTTTGCAAAATAATGCTTTATTTTCGCATTCCAAAAATTGATACTGCGGGTTTTTCCATAATACTGTATTTATACGAAAAAAAGTTTGAATTCAAATAGATATTTTAATTTTTATTGGATCTCCACCCAAAAGAATATTTGTATACGAAATGTTCAGCTTGAAAAAATAAAATACAATTATTGTTTTCAAACAACGTCTTTTTCGAACGATTCCGGATACGAAAATTAATGATAACACCGGAACCCTCAAAAAAAAAGTGGTAAGTGCTTTTAACCAGACCCAGCTAACGATATGTATTTCGAACCGCTGAATTTGAGGTCTCTGGGGCTTGACTCGCACACCCCCAAAATTTCGAGCAATTTGCGAAAATTCCAAAAAAAACTGCAACATTCTTATTTTTCGGTATTTACTCGAAATTTCAAGGGTGTACGATTCAAACGGACCTTAGATTCAAACGGATTCAGCTGGTGGGTGGATCTGGTTAAATACGCAGACCACGTTTGGTTTGCGTTCGAAAAAGATGATGTTATTTAAAAACAATAATTGTATTTAATTTTTTCAAGCCAAACCGATTTCAAGTTTATTTTTTTTTTTTAATAAAAGATAATTAAATTTCGCGTCGATAGATCGACGATGGCGATTCCGATGACGAAAAATATAAGCCCAGCTCACTTTAATCTTAATAATATTAAAATATAATAAATTTTATAATTCCGTTCGAAAAAGTTCGTAAAAGTGTCCCAATGTACACGTTTACTCATTTTTTGCACTTATTTATGTATATTGAAATATTAGCTTGAATAAACATCATAAGCTGTGTTTTAGTTATTTGTTGTTTTTTTTTCATCTTTCACTTACCGCTGCGGCTAAAACGTTGGCCGTTTGTCGTTGTAACGTCAACTTGCCGCGCACAATCCAACCGGAAGTTGGCGGAGCCGGATGTTCATCTTCTTGTGGTGCCTTTGCACCAACTGCCACCGTACCGACATACTCATATTCGTATTGGCGATTCAAAGCGATGATATGAAATGCGCCCACACTCGCACTGAGAACAGCCAACAACAATACGACTAGCGAAGATATTGAAGTTGGAGAGATTAAAAAAAAAATTAGTTATTATAAATACATACATACACATTTTGTAGTTGTTTTAAACTAAATAATTTTTTCTAGTGTATAATTTAAATGAAACACAAACTTTTTGCACTTTCGCATCTGGGACGAAAACAAAATACTAATTTCCTGATGATAATAAAATTACGTCATCGCTGTGATTAGTTTTTAGAAAATTTTCACAAATAAAATTATTTTATGCCGCATATGTATGTATGTAGTGATTTATTTGCATACATATGTATATGAATGTATATACATACATAGATCTATACACTGTTAGTGATGTGTATTAGGGTGACCCTTAAAAATATTAACATCTAAATTTTATATGGGACACCCTTTTACTTTGCTCTACGTACAAAATAAAGACGTCCACGAAAATTTCCAAATTTCGAAAAGATGTTTATGCGTCGCTCCTAGGGTTTAAAAAAATGTACTTTCTCTAAATCGCAAATATTCGACTGAATCTTTTTCATTTACTAGCTGAGTTATAGCTGGAAAAATCCAAATTTTGTCGAATTTTTGCAATTTAAAAAAATAAAATTTTTAAACGCTGGATGTAAGGTGCACCCTTTTATATTGTTTTACGTATAAAATAAAGATAAATTCGATAAAATTTTGACAAGAAATCTAGTAAATTGGACATATTATTGAAGCTAGTTCATATAAATTCATAAACTCGCTGAATTATTTGAATAATTAGTGTAAAAAATATAAATATTAGTTAAAATCGGAATTTCTACGTACACAATAAAATTGAGCACTTGTTGCCCGGCATTCTGGCAAATTTTTTGCTTAGTATTTTTTTTGGATTATTTAAAAATGTTTCTTATTTCTCAAATCCTTCCAAAGCACTTTCGATGTTGGCTTATTTTATTTCACTTTTTTAGGTTAAACTATACTTTTTTTGCAGATTACATTTAGTCTGCGCGCAATTCATTGGTGGTTCACAGATTCATGCGATTCATTCAATTTTTATTTAAACACACACGAACGAAATATAAGCACAACTTTTTTGAAACTGATAACAGCGTTTGCAAGTACTTATGTTTTATTTATCACACACACATATATTTTAAATATTTATGTACATATGTATGTATATGCGCTTGATATTCATATAAACGTGAATTTTAAACATCTCGATTTTAAACTTTATTTATTCTTAAAGTATTTAAACCTCACTGGAATCACTAAATACATAACCGTTTTATTTTTCTTTCTTTTCAATTCGAAAACTTTCACCCGCACACACACACACTAACGTAGACCGGAAAACTCGAAGCTGTCGGATTTGAAAATAAAATTTCCAATATCCTTTCTTTGCAAATATTGCTTTTCCTTTTTATGAGCTTCGTACGCGACGCGTTCAAAACCCGTACTAAAGCGTTGCTTGACCGCAAGCTGGAACTTAGGGTGTTCGACTTGACAACGCTCGCGGTCGTGTTTGTATGTACATATGTATGTTTGTAGTTAATAGCTGTCCGGATTCGGCATATTTCGCCTTTCATTCTTCTAGATAAGAATGCCAGAGAAAAGAGCGCATTTACATACATATATATGCACGTAAGCGCTATACAGTATTTAAAAGTATATACTATACGTATTTATCTGTGTGTGCGCGTAAATTCGTATGTATTTTTTTTTTTTTTTGGAAAAACGCGACTGAGTAAAATAAGTACTTATATCTGGAGAAAGTGAATATTGGCTTACAAGGAGTTGTGGCATTTATGAATGGGAATTGCATATGTATGTATATGCTTAAGTGAACACTTGCAAATCCATGTGTAGTTGCATGTCCACAACCCTGCAGGAAAGTCCGCTAGCAAAGAAAAAATTTAGTGTACATAATTGGAATTCGGTCAATATTTAGTTGGTTGCGGTAGGTATGCCTCAGATTTACGCATGGAATTAATTTTATTGGCTTAAGAAGAGTAAAGAGCAAGGGTATAGAAAAGAAGTAATTGAGAGGTCACCCATTTTGTAAACAGATTTACACTTCCGAATTTCTTCAGTGGCAAGACTCTGATGCAATCACTTAGTGTGTCAAAAGAGTGCAAACACCTAGTACTTATTGCAGAATGTTTTACACGTCGTTTGGTGATAAAAGCATGTTCACATGCTGAAATCATGTAATTTTGCCTTGTAAAATCATAAATTTAACATAAATCAAAAACAAATTGAAGAAAAAAAGTTTTTTCATTTATTTCAGCTCCCGCTGTTGAGGAAACTTAAAGAAAATGCCTAAAGATATGCCAATTTTTTTTTTTTTAATCGAGTACAATCCACACACTCGTACGTGCTGATCACATATCTATAGAAATTACGCAACAAAATATGAACGTATTTCATTAATGTGAAGAAATTTGATTGAAACAAAGTAATTTATGCTGTAATGTGAACATAGTTTAAAGTAGTTAATCAAATTAATAAGTAAATAATGATCTTTGCTTACATACTTAAAGGCGCACTATTTGGTTAAAATATAAAGATTTTAGCAGGCAGCGGGTCACTAATACTACTGAGCTACGCTAACGCTACTCTGCTGGGTTCTCTGGCATAATAATATTGAAGGTAACGATCAAATAAATCCAGATACGGTACATACATACATATGTACCTGTCAAGAGGTTTATAATGTATCCTGGGTAACTTACTCGTCTCTCCGATTTACCGCAACTAATTTGTCTTTCACACCTAATGGGTTTTCCCAGAGTATCCCACTTTCATACATAAATATGTACTTATGCATGCTTACATATATGTATATGTATGTACATATTTACATCTGTATGCATTTGAGAAAATCTGCTTTGAATGTGCCGGAAATTCCTGGGATATTATTCTTCATGTTTGCCTTTCTTATGACAAGATTTATATGATAAATGACCGAGAGATTTGGGAATTATATGTCATATTTAGTTGGCAAAAAAACGTCTATAAATTTTCATCTATGTTATTTATTTTATAACTTTAAGTTCTTTTTCATCCTTCCTACTCTCCGCTTGAAAAAAAAAATGCGGTGAGACCTTAGTTAGTTGCCCCGCCAGTGTGTCTAGTATCGATACCAGGGTTGCCCCTATTTAAATAAAAATTAAAATTGTTTTTAAGGAACTTTTAATTTAAGTAATTATACCTTCAACCAAAAGCGAAAGTAATTAAACTAAAGGCAACAACGAAACTTCATCATTTGAAAAAACTTCAATTGGAGGTATTATAGACAAATACAACATTTAGAAAAATTCAAAAATTTTCATCTAAACTTCGAACCTTGTAGTTTGAATTTTTATAACAATTTAAAGCATGGAATTTTATAGCCTATAATATTTGAATATAACCAACAATGTGCAGCTAAAAATTCCCGTTGATTTTTTTAAATTTTTTTTGCTCCCTGTCTTTTGTGTTTTTTTAACCGACATCAAAAAAAAGGAGGAGGTTATCAATTCGTCGGAATATTAGTGTCTCAGAGGTGGTCCCATACTAATCTGGTTTAGATCCGATCATTGGATCACGAAAAAATTAACGGTACTCCTAAATTTTTATATGAGAATTGAAGTCGGTTTTGTTTTTTGCTTAAAAATTACTTGTTTGCTTTTGTTTATCGGTCTTTAAAAATTACTTGTTCATTTAACAATTGCGTTGATAAATTTTTTTTTTCGAACAAACATAGTGCGTAGTTACATATATACATGTCTATTTTATTACAACGCTTTTATCAACTTGCAATGTTGTGTGTCCAGAAACTTTCAATGTTGTGGATCCAGAAACTTTCAATGTTGTGTGTCCGACACCATAAAAGCTTTGCTTTGAAAAGTTCCTATAAAAAAGCATAGTGCATAGGGCGACATCTGTAGTGAATAGGGCGAGGTAGATGACATCTAGATGTCGCCCTTGTAATACGTTTGCTACACCGGAAATAGACGAGACGCCATTCTTTAAATAAAATTAATTGGTGCTCGTTTGTATGTACATACATATGTAAATGCATGTGTGTGCACCTTTCTATTAATATCGTTGAATTATTTTAATATCTATTGCAAAATTTTATTCAGACAGGACTAAAAAGTAGAAAATAAATAATATAAAAAAAACTTTTTAATATACAACGCTTTTATAAATGGACTAAAAAGTAGAAAATAATATTTCTCAGTCCCATAGAATTTGTTTTGATAACTTTTGATTTTGAAATTTTAGCAAAAGTCATTATAAACAATCTATGAAATTGAAAATGAAAAGCGTGGGGCGCATTCTCCACTTTACCTCAAAGAAATTTTTACTTTTTCACTTTTTTCTTGAATTATGAAAAAATATAACGTAAGATCTACAGTTTAGCAAATAAAATGTAAGTGCTGCCAGAAAGTTGTTAATATTTTTTTAAACATTCCTCAATTTAAGTTCACATTGAGAAATAAGGTTTGAGAAAATTATTCTCAAATGGTAAGGAACGCTGAAACCCAACATGAGAATTAAGGGTTTATCAAGCGTTAGAGAATGTTTCTCCTTGTGTGTGCATTGCGGTGCGTAGAACCGACTCTTCTGGGTCGTATACACCGAAGGCTGTTCGGCTTTGGCGGTGCCTTAGGTTTCAAGATGAATTATTAGCTTTCCGTCCTTTCCAGCTTTTCACCTCTTTTTTACTACTCAGCACAAAAAACAACCTCTTTGCTATGCAAACAATGGTAACCTTTTCCAAAAGCTGATTGGAGAAGGTCAAACTAAACTTATACAATCGGCACTATTACGGTTGTCTACGTCGATGTTTTTTGGTCAAAAAATAGTCCTCGCAAGTCTAGCGCCAGCTACACTGACCACAGTATTTTTGCGGAAAGGTGTTCCTCGCGAAACTACTGCGGCCAACAAAACTGGAGTTGGACTGAGGAGGGCTATTTTTTGAGCAAAAAATTATATCGACGTCCACGTCGACAACCATAATAGGGCCGAATAATATAGACCATAAAACTTCTGAAAATTCTAAGGGGTTTGCTTTGACAGCTTGCTCTTCTTCTTCGCTCACACAATCAAAACATCGGAAGGCATTTTATAAATCTTAACGCCCAGATAGTTGGATCTACGTAACCGGAAAACTCAGATTCATATTTGGACAGCTAATATCACTTCAGTAATATTCCTTACATGTTGTCGTCAGATAAAGAGCTCGAGTTGTATGGCGAAACACGCGTTAATTTGATACAACTCTATCCTGAAAATTGCAGCGGAATAAACTTCAGAAGTTCGCCGAATTCAGAGCTGATATGCATTTGATATTTGGTGTTTTCGAAAAGGCTTTCGATAGAGTTATTCTAGGAAATAAACTTAGTGTCTTGAATTTAGGTTCAGAGCCAACCTTTATGACAAAGAGTGGAGAAGAAGTTTTGGATATAATCCTGCCTTCAGACTTGTTTGCCCATAAAATCAAGAGATGGCGAGTATTGAGTCTTATTCTGACCATCGGTATATTGAATTTGAAATAGATCTTAAGACCTCCCAAGTTAGGAAGTTCAGAAATGTTAGAAATACCGACTGGGGGTTTACAACAACAAATTAAGGGCTTTATTGCTAAAGATACCTCCCCGAGACCCCGAGATCCCGCCACGCAGGTGGAATTAGACGGGTTGGTTAATCAAGTCACCAAATTCATGAATAGTTCTTTTTCAGGCGGATGTTCACGCACACGCCCAGGAAACCAGCCGACACGACAGCTGGATAGGAAAGGCAAATCTATGGAAAACGCCTTGCAGTCGTCCGTCGAGTTGGTGGAAAAAAGCTTATCAGATAAGGAGTATGCTCTGGTTGCATTTGCAGATATAGAAGGCGCCTTCAATTAATTCAAGCGACATAACGGGACCATGGAGAAGGGGGGAATTGAAGTTTTACACAGATATACCGAAGCTAGACAATAGCGTTGGCCACGGAGTTTTACCTAAGGAACTAGGACTAGAATTATCCGTGCGAATTTCGGACCACTGCTGTGTTTATCAGGCAGAAGTTTTAGCTATAAAGGATTAATATCTTCTCGGATAGCCAGGCGGCTGAATGATGAGATCGAAGGTTGCGCAGGAACGCCTCGCAGCTCTAAACGATATTATCAGCCTCATATGGGTTCCGGAACACTGACATTGAAGGCAATTTCAGAGCCGATGAGCTAGCCAGGAAAGGTACCAGTCTCCCCCTATGTGAAAACAGCGGCACTATTGGGATACCCATGGCAACTTGCAAATTATAACTTAGAAATAGTATGATCCAAGAGGCCAACAGGTCATGGCTAGAAGAGGGCACTTGTAGAACAACCAGGCTGCTTTGGCCGCAAATAGACAAGAAAAAGACGAAAGAGTTGTTGCTCAGCCTCTCAAGAGAGGATATTGCGATGGTAACGGTTCGTGTAACCGGTTATTGGCTATTTGGCAGGCATCCTTC